GTAAATGTCCGGTAGGTGCACCTTTTAACTATCAGTACAGTGCACATAAATAGCTCACACAAGTTACAAGTTCAATCGCTATTACCGAACATTGGTCGTAACAAGACGACACTATGAATAAGTGCATCGAACTGCAAGTAAAGGAGAGTTCTTAAAGATGAGAAGCGCCGGAAAGATTTACCAACAAAAAATAAGCAGCTATTCGTTGAATGAATATATTCGTGTTATGGATCGAAATTGGCCTCAGTGGTATAAAGGAAATAATATATTTAATATTATTTAATAACGTGTGCTCAATAGGGCCCCCCGCGGCGGCGGTTCGCGGCTCGCAGCCGATATTGGTGTTTGTATAGCCGCCGCGGCGCTGTTGTGCGATGGCCTCTAGTACGCACTAATGATCGCATGAGTAACGTCCTTTATTTTCGTTATGGGGTGCGATAGTTGGTATTGTTATACATTGTGTTGGATAATTTGAACACGATTCTTTCAATTTTTGCGACTGGGCTTTGACTTTGTCTGATTTCGTCAAACAAACAAGGATTAATTTTTTTTTTCGAAGATGTAATTAACTCACTTGTGTCGGTTAATACTAACCAAATTGTAATAGTATTTACTAATACATAAGGCGCACCATAAGTTTCCGGAACAAAGTTAAGTTAAAAAGTAATTACAACGTTTGAAAATGGAACTCTTTGGCTGTAGAATACAGTTTGTTTTATCTGACTGTCACTTGTTTTTACATTGTGGCGTTGTTTTAGCAATTGGTAGACAACCAATTGCTAAAACGACGCCACAACGACATAACCATGGATTTAAGTCGTGAAAATGTTACGCCGTATGCTGCTGTGTGTGCTGCGTACGCCGTATGATGTAATGCTGTGCGCCGTATGATCAAAACAGACAGGCATGTGACATACCATAAGATTCGGGCATCTTCTAGGCATAGGCATGAGTCAAATACAATCAATACTACACAAACATTTGGGTGTGAAAAAGCTGTGCTCTCGGTGGATCCACACAATTTGACTGAGCTTCAAAAAACGGATCGCGTCACTTGGTGCAATGCCACGCTAAGCAGATTCAACGAAGGGGCGTCAAATTTGATGTGGGGTACAGCAACAGGCAACGGAACATGGATTTATAGTTATCAATCGAACGTATGGGTCTTTCGAGATGAGCTGAAACCAACCTAAGTGGCGCGCGTGCAAAGTGCCTCTAAGCGAATGATTGCTTCTTTTTTAATAAAACTGGACACGTGGCTAATGTTGCTTTGGAGAATCGTTGTACCATGAATAAATAGTGATTGGTATACGACCATTTGTTTGCCGGAAGTTATTGACAAACTCCGTAAAAATAGCCGTAAATGCCGTATCATCTTGCGCCACGATAATGCCAGTTTTCACACGGCCAGACATCAAATTAATTTTCGAAGGTGAACAATGTTGACCTTATGAGTCACCCGCGTACAGTACACCTTGTGACTTTTATTTATTTCTAAAAATTAAGAACTAGTTACTCGATCATCGATTTTCATCACCTGTAGAGGCTATCGTAGAGTATGAAAAATATGTTTCAGAGGTTGTCATGAAGGAGTGGCATAAATGTTTTCAAAATTGGTTCATTCGTATGAAATAGTGCATTAACGCTAACGGAGAATATTTTGAGAAACCATAAATTCTTTTCTGACCATTTATAGTATTTTTTCTTATTCATTCCGGAAACTTATAGTGCGCCTGACGTAGTAATTATATGTCAGTTAATACTAACCGTAATAATCTCCATAAATCACGAAGCATCTACTATTTGCAAATTCCGTATGGCACGTGGCCCACTCGTGTCCTGGATTAAACAATTGTACTCCACTTGAAAATGTAGAGAACCTGAAATATTTAGGAATAGTTGTTGACCGCTACCTTCACTGTATACTGACGTACTGCATTACCTCATGGGGCGGTGCAGCCAATGAAACCTTCTCCAGTTTGAAAGGACCCAGAGAGCAATTCTCAAGGTATCCCATTTTCTACCTTATCGACATCCCACTACGATATCATCGACTATCAAAGAGGTTTTCAGGCCGCATCTTTGGCTTTCTAGGTTTCTAGCTACCTTTGTAGTAATATAAATAGGACATTGACTATTTAAATAAAAACTCTTGCAAAAGGAACGTAACAGAGTAATTAAAGTACAAACACACACACACAGATCTTCACACAATCTGAAGCATACGTAAACTGAAAAATCTAACCCTATTAACACTTCTTGTTTCTTTAAAAGGGATAAGACTTGATTAATTGTTTATCTCATCGTTACCGTGTTGGAGAGTTCTTGTAATATAATAAATATTATTGGAAATGTTATTCCCAATGGGTCCCAATGGGAGACCTGGTGTCCTGAAATACAGGACTTTGCCTAGTTTATTTCCACAATATCTATAGAGATAGTTCATATAGTACTTGTATTATGTTTAGTACGTTGTGTTGTGGTGAGAAATAAACATTTTTTTTTATTATTGTTATACACTACACTGATATTAAAATTTAAGACCCACACTAATATATTTGTCCAGTCATTCGTTTAAGTCTCTGTTACCTTTTCGCGAGTTAATGAAGTCGTTGTTGACTCTACAAATTGTAGCTCTATGCTCAGTCACTTATTGCCATGTTTTCTTTCTTCTTACGCTAAGATAACCTTACGTTTGTTTACAGTCTATGCGATGGAAAGTCGAGGCGCGGTCGAGGTGGCTCAGAATTCAGAGCTCAGAAGGTTCAGATTGTACCATTGGAAAGAAAACATAAAAAACCTTTATTGAATTGTCATCTCACCTTATACACTAGGGTCTTCTCTCCGTTACTTCTCTCAGACAAATCACCAAATAATCGCCGCACTACTACAAGAACTCAATTGGAATTCGTAAACCCCCTCTCTTCTCTCCTCGCTTCGCAACTCCCAATCCCATGGCTCAATTATCCTCATCGACGTCTTAAAAAGGAATTGAGTGTTCGCGACCAATGTAATTGTCGCGTTTATTTCTCACTTCCGCTGCTTTTTTTCTCTCTTTCATCATATGTTTGTCACTTTGTATGGTTGTAATACAAACCGCTCTTTTGAAGGACAGCCATTGTGTAATCGATATACTAACCCACATTTGTAGTCGTGTTCATATTTTTGTGTCAAATAACATCTGGATACAGGTTTTTTTTTCTAAGAGGATATGGTTTAAATTGTTGTACCAAGCTATAATTATTGCCTTTATAACATTTCAAACAATTTGCGTTGCGTATAAACATAGGTATTGTAAGTTGTTTTGATATTGCTGTTGTGCCTTTAACTTAATACCCATCTGATAAATTATTCATTTTGTTATGTATTTACTACAAACGTACAAAATATCTTAAGTGGTGGAAGAGGTATAACCAAGCGTTCCATTTTTATTAGTTACAATGTAGAATGACTTAGCTTTCGTTCCACTCATGCGTGCCACAGATGAGCCGATCTATCTGAGATGGTCTATCATCGCTACATATTCAAATTTTACTTATTACACAGCTAACGGAAAACCCTGCTTAAGTATTCAGGACATGCCAAATATAATTGTAAATGAGACGATTAAAATTATCACGCGACAACAATGGGCCGGTATACGAATCATCGGTTTTACGCGCCAGAATACTACTCAGATTTTTATAACATTTCCTGATGAATTCAATGTTTTTGAGATAGGCTGAATGAATGAATATTCGAGAAAGACATCAATCGCATAAAAAAATATTACTTTGGAAGGGAAAGAAAAAGGCTAACATGGGAGTTAAATTACTTGTAACATTAAATCCCGCGACACGGTCAGGATACCACTTCGCAATAGTTAGATCACCTTGAATATGATGTTTTGCTCGGGTTTGCCGTTCGTTTTTTATATATCAAGTTAAGGGTACACGATACACATTAAAAAGTCTCACAAAAATAGCAGACACATAACATTTTAAAAACTGTTTGTTACTCTTATTTTGAAAGCATTAATAGATTTTGTATCAAAGTTTGGGGCAATGGATCTAATATAAACTCTGTTCTACTCATACAAAAAAGGCTATACGGCTAATTGTCAAATCTAAACGCATACGAGTTACGCGCCCAAATTTGTAGACAAATAAAATCCTCACAATTACCTCATTATATCTCTATCGAATATGTCTCCATGTTTTTATAAATAAGGAAAAGTTGCCAATAGCAGAGCAAAGTCATAATTTTAACCTTAGAAATAAAATAGACCGGCATTAAATAATTCTCGGTTTGTTAATTTCTACAACATTGCAATCAAAGTGTTCAACAATTTAAGTAAGGATCTAAAACTTTGTAGTGATTTTAGAACATTTGAAAGAAAAGTGAAATAATATTTTATAAATGGGCCATTTTACTCAATTAATGAATTCTTTGCTAATGCATTGGATAAATAAAATATAATTTATATTGTAATTTAATATTGTATGTAATTTAAATAATGAAATGTTGTAACTTCGATTTAGAATAAGAAGAAGAAGAAGGCTTGTGAAATATACTGTATTTGCATATGATTGTATTTAGAGCAAATAAATGATTTGGTTTGATTCTATAAGGGTTAGTTATACAGAAAGATTACGAAATCTTTCGTGTATATCTTATAGTGAACACAATGTGAGTTGTTGCTGATAAAAAAACGTAGTCAAAAACCAATCGGTACGTTCTTACAATATAAAAAATGTACTCCTTTGAATGCTACACAAAGAGATTTCTATATTATTTAATACATACGAAAATTAAGTCCATTTAACAAAAATTCGCGTCTCTGGCACGGGCACAGTAGCCTCACTACTTAGCGCAGATAATCCTTTGCCACATCTCCGGCCGTCGCCGTCGCCTCGCGGCCCACCCAACGCGCACTTCCTACGTTCTCTTCTAACGAAAAGGATCTCCAAATCTTACCATCATAATATTATGTCACCAACTTGCCTTAACAGATGGACACATTTACCTGTCTGATATTCAAAATCGCCTAGTCGGTAGTTAATCGCCTGCAAATGTGAGTTGGTCGAGGACGCAGTGGATGAAAGGTAGCGGATACACGAATGATTGCGTTGTTGTTACCGTCGATGGTGAACGGTGAGGTGTAAATATTTGCATCCATTAGCGGCGCATTGTATGTGCGCGCCTTTACTTAGGCCGACCATTACCGCCGGTGCGGTGCGACATTTACATGTCGGTTGAATGAGATACGAAGTATTGGAATTTGATCGACGGTGATTCCGGTTTGTGCGTCGCCTTTACCAAAGCACACGTGTTGGGGTTTCGTTGAAATATAATATATAAGAATTCACGAAACTATACTGTCTTTCATTAATTACCTTTATTTTTAGTTAATAGTAGGAATGTGTGTGCTTAAGTTAACGTAATACTACAAAAATATGGGGAGTAAAGAGGATATTTCAAATAACCCGTGGGCGCGGCTGTGCAGAGACAGCGTAAGGACTGTAACGTGAGAGATTGAAAGTATAGAGGTGGAATAACAGATGCTTACGAATATAATAAATGCGTTATGTTGTTTGTCCTTTAGAAAAACACTTCAGGAGTAGTCTTAATAAAATTCGCCGTCGGAGAGCTTGATAGCGTAGATATGCAGAGCCCGAAATTCGCAGAACTGGTTGGTGCACCAGCCGGAGTGACCGTCGGTGCAACGGCACGAGTCGCACTCGTCCATGTACTTCTCGCCGGGGATGCACTTGAAGAAGGGGTTCTTTATCACTGCAACACACGCCGAGAACATTCCGTGGACCTCTGGCTCTGGTCAAGTTGGGTAAAAATATCGAACCACAGATTGAGTATAAAAAATGTTTTCAGAATAAAACTTGTCCGAATCCTGCCACACGCCGTTCGACATTGCAATTGTTTTTCATCAATATAAAACTAGCTTCCATGCGCCCCCAAAACAAATACTATGAATTCGGATAAAAGCAATGAACAACCAACGAGACATTTGAAGTGTCCTGGAATGTTGAAACTAAGTCGGAAATTAGGATAGAGAGGTTTTCCATCATCTGGAAGTAAAGAAAAAATTGAGTGTTACCAGTGCATCGCAGACAAGGCGTGGAGCGTTCGCACAACGCGGTGACTGTAGCCTCGCAGTACACGCAGGAAGGCATGGCGCAACACGCGCCAGAATCTTGCGCCTCGCACAACATGCAATTCTTATTCTCCGGCGCGAGGGTCAGCGACGTCTCTTCCTGCCAGTACACGTGCGGCGTCTTCGGTTCCGCAAAGTGCGAGACCACGTACCTGATCAATTGGAGGTCGGGTTTTCAAATGGTGTTTAAATAGCCACAATAGACATGCAGTCTCCTTCACAGTAAGACGTGAGACGTAACCTATAGACATTTGCTACACTACTGAGGAAATAGTCGCCAGGGTGGGGTCGTTGTTACTTTGCAGCAGATGTCGTGCAGTGGCGTCTAGTCGAGTACTACCTGCCCGACTAGCTACGTGTGGTTCGACCAGGTGGTAAATATGCTCGGTCCACTGCGGGCCGAGTGAGGAAATATGAAGTGAGAAGTGCCAGGTCCTCACGCCTGCGAGCCCGGCCGGTAGACGGGCGGCGACTCTTCGGCGCCGCCACCGACGGAGCTGAGCGTGCCCGGCAGCGGCGGCAGGCGCCCGACGCGCGCTTCTGCAACGAAACGATTTAATTCCAGTTTTGCGGTATAGATTTCTGAAGACAACAGTACTATTCGATTTGTACTGGTGTGTTGTATCAACAATATAATAAATTGCAGTACACTTTGAAAAAAAAAATCTAATTATCATCTCAAGATTCTATCACGTCTTCACACTGAGGCTCATAAACAATGAAACTTATGTGCCATTGCCCATTTAGAACTTTGTGACTCTTTCGCCAACTTGTGATTATATTAATAATAGTCAGCAAACATATAATCCCACTGCTAGGCACGGGCCTCGTCTCACAAAGAGGTGGGCAATGGGCTGTAATTGCCGCGCGTGTCCTGTGCACTGGGAACTTCACATACGTCATTAATAACTTGCTTTGCAGATGTGTGCAGGTTTCCACGCGAAGTTTTCTTTCAGCAAAACGCGCATGGTAAATTTCTAATTAACTTTCGCTTATAAATTCCGAAATGCGCAGAGGTGCAAGTTCGGATTTGGACACACACCCTCATTTATTCACTTATTCGAAACAATTTGATTCTATAATTCAGTTAAGAATGTGGGCATAAATAGACATCATTGCTCAACTCACCGTCCTCTGGGTTGTACGCGGCGATGGCGCCGAAGATACATAACACGCTTACGACGACAAACGACATGTTCGATGCTGTGTAGCGAGGGTGCGCGTGTGTCGTTGCCATTCGTTATAATAATCGAGAAGAAACAAATGTTATTAATTGGTCCAGTGCCAATCGCCAATTAATATTAACCGGCGCACACGTACAGGCGGTAAAAAATATCTTGTACCCTACATCCTTCTTTATATTTGACTAAGAAGAAGAGGAAGTATACGTGTGTGGTTTGATAAATACGAGAGATAAGGTTAAATAAAAACTTTTTTTAATTTATTTTTATTTCTTAAAAATAAATTCGAAAATTAGCGCGAAAATAAAAAGAAAAACAGAAATAAGAAAGTTTGGCGAGGTCGGTATATTTTTTAAAGATGGAGAAACAGTACATATTCACCAGATTTGGTCCCATCTAACTTTTACCCCTTCCCCAATATGAAAAAATGGCTTGGCGGACAAAGATTTACATAAACTGAGGAAGTTATAGTTGAAACAATGGCCTATTTTTTAGAGTTTGACAAAACATTTTTTTAATGGTTGAAGAGTTGAAATGTCGCCGGTCAAGGTGTGTAGAGTTTAAGTAAGGAGATTACGTAAAAAATAGACCATTATTAAAATATATATTTTTTCTACTTCTCAAAGTCACGAACCAAACCGCCCTCGTATTTTTAAAGTTGCTGATTTTTTATTTTTTCCCTGCAACAACGTCACCGAACATTGTCTGCCACTCGATGACAACTTACTTCTTCTTTAACTTAAACTCTGCATATAGTTAATTGTGTACAGTCCCATATCATTCTCTATAAGTTTGATTATAACCTTGCCTATCAACCTGTTGGTTATCTCAGCTAGTAGGCTCACTCGCACAGGTCATAGGACCATCTAAGTCAACTCTCAACCCCAGATCAGCCCGTTTGCACGGACTTCATCCGGTTCTCTGTAAGGCTAGTAGTGCCTTAGGTGAGCCGCCCCGGGTGCACGTACAGCACCCTCCTATTTTCCAAATAAGTACCAGAGCTGTAGGCACGCTCATTTCCCGTCGCGCTCTGCGCTAACTAACGGTTGCCACCGCTGAACTATAAGCCAAAGTCAAAGTCAAATAATCATTTATTCCATAGGTAAAATTTTTACTTAAAAACGTCATTTTTTTAAATACTGCTCGTTCACTACGCTGACCTCCCTGAGAAAAACAAGCAAGAAACTCTTGGGATTGCTGTTCAAATAAATTAAAATAAACTTAAACATTTTGAATCATAACTGTGTGGAATCTAGACTCATGTTGTCTTTCCATACATCTTTATCTAACACGTAACTTGTACGAGCAGTACATTACATATGTCGTAACTTAACCTAAATATGTTGCTGATCGCGCGCATTGTCGCGCTTACATTTTATGTACAATTACGTATATTTTTAGTACAATAAAGACCTTCGGACAGTACGGTGCCTTACATATTTTGCATCAACCCACCTCAACCGAACGGTGTACTCAGGAAAACATACAATTCCCATCAACACACATTCTTACATACATTCTACATTACATACGTTGGGCACGAGCCCCAACATAACTAGAATATGACTTTCAACTAAAATACTTTTAATATACATTTTAAATTTAGGAAATGGTAATTTTAATATATGCTCCGGAATCTTATTGTAAAAACGTATACAGTACCCATAAAATAATCGTTTATCTTAGTTAAGACTACCAAATCTCATCTATGGCGGAGCTGTAAGACACGCTCACTTCCCGACACCGAATGAACGGCGTCTCTCCAGGTCTAAAATTCCTACGCGGTTGGAGGGACCAGACGAAGTATAGCTCATCCTCTACTAGCTCCCTGGCTTATGCCGGAGATGCCGGTGGCAGTGTCTTGCGACAATGTCCGGATTTAGCCCCCGACTTAAAGGGCCACTCACGTCTCGCGCGTCTCCTCGTCATTAGGTCCGCTACTAAGACGCGCTAACTGCGCGCGGGACAAACGCCCTTGCCACATGTTACCGGGGCAGACGAACGAGTTCATCCCTGCAGCTAACCACAAACCCCGGCGAATCCATACCCAAGTTCGTGTCCGGAAAAAACGCCCGTGAAAGCATATCACTGGCGGAGGGCTCGGCCCGGACGCCCGCCGTACCATGGTTTTACCGGGGAACCCGTAGTCTCCCCGGATCCCTATCTCTAGGATCAGTAGATAGGGATAGTTAATTGTGTACAGTCAAACAGTATTCACCAGTTGTACTGTAATGGCCGTGATCGTGTCGGCGTCGTGTCGTCGGTAATTACCCATATCGCGCTCGTTGCCGCGACCATTACAGTCACCAACGACGTTTTAACAAGCAACACATTGCTCACTTTATACCTGAACACAAATTATATTGAAAGTTGTTGTGTATTGGTCGATATAATACAGTCTTTTGTACCGGTGCATAGCGCTTATTCCCTACACGGAAATATTGACCATGTTATAAGTACCTATAGCAACGTGTACAACACAAAATTGATAACAGCTTTATTGTTTATCACAAAATAATGTGTATAATGGATGAACTCAAAGCAAATTATGTAATAAAATGCTATCTCGTAATATTCAATAGATTATCATCGCACAACACTCGACCGCCGCGACCGCACATGTGCTCAAACAAACCATTCAAATATTATTATGAACACGCGATAAACAACACTTATCCTAATTCCATCGCCGGCCATGAGCCACTGTGATAGATTTAACTCTGCGGCCGCGCTTCAATGAACGGCAAACATAATTAATGTATGAAATTATTTATTTGTTATTCTGTTATGAAACAACACCGGTTGCGTGTGTTCCCAACGAAAGTTATTTTGTTGCTCATTAGGATTATTGGGAATAGTTTTTGTGTGAATATTCTCTGCCGCTTTAACGAAAATTATTAATAGTCACTCATATGCTACATTTCAACAAAACACTGTTAAATATCAATAAAAATATTATAATTAATCGGAAATATTATTTGTTTATTCCATATATCGGTGGATCTAATGTAATAACCCGCTGTTACAAAATATTCCCAGTTTGTTCTGCCTACAAAGTCCGTTTTTGAGTGATTATGCCAATTATAATAATGATAATGTTTCACCACTACGCAATCACACCAATTCTATGATATTAAATTAGGAAATTTCCTATACAATGAGTGCCAGGGCAACGAAATTATTCCGGGGTACTTACCTGAACCACCAGACCTGAATCAATTTAGGAAATTTCATTTCTCGAATTGTTCCCAGCGAGAATTGAAGTCGGGACCTTCTCGTCCAGTGCCCGCAGTGCAAACCACCACGACGTCGGACCACCGAGGTCGGCTGTAAGAGTTAAGTTCATTATCTGTGACAAAAGAGTAGGGCCAATTTACAGGAAAACTTTTAACATTTACCGCGTCGTAAATGCGATGCGGTATCATACATTAACAACACCGAGCGTCGATTCCCATACGGGACAGTGTAAGCAACATAATCTCACCATCGCCATCACGCGCTGTTGTAATCACTCATCATTTGCTCGTTACTGCTATCGTTGTCGAGCAGGTGTCGTTTCGCACCCCCACTCCCCTAAAGGCTCGCCAACGACAATCGTCCGTTTATATCACTATCTCTTATTATTAGCCATTATTGAGTATGCCACGAGGTCTTGACGTCACGCGAGTGATCCGTCAGGCTCGCCCTTTATTATGTCCAATCATTTCGATAACGGCGCAAATTGAGGATTTCGGGTATCGATAAGTCGAGTTTTATGGATGGGGTTAATATCACCACCGGGCATAGAAATATAATTGACAAAATATCTAATTATTACATCTTTTTTTATTTATTATTATGTTCTTATGAACATAATTGATTCGCCACAGACATTCGTAGCTTACTGCAGATATTTAGAACTATTATTCTGCTTGTAAATTTATCAATTCCTCTCCACAACGCTTGAAAGCTAATTGAAAACCCGCATTTTGCTGTTATTCATTCACTCATTAGGGTCTGTAAAGCAATGAAGTATAATAAAATAATAATAATAATAATAATAAATTATAATAATAATAATAAATTATAATAATAATAATAATAATAATAATAATAATAATAATAATAATAATAATAAAATACCGCCTCTCCCATTTAAAAATTCAAAATTAATCTTTTAGGCCTTGGGAGAGGCGAGAGTTTAAAATAAATACGATAATAATAATGAATAACGCACACACTCAACATAAAATAGGTGATATCTTCAACGCTACGCAATGGTCGATTTCTACTGATGCCAATAATAATAATAATAATAATAATAATAATAATAATAACGCACACACTCAACATAGCCCCGCACTAGGGAATCCTTGTGTCGCGGGTGCCATGGACACACACATAGACAACCACAAATTACACCCAAACTCACGAGAGAAATAATTGTAGGCCATACAACTATTTCTCCCGGCCCGGGAATCGAACCTGGGACCTCTGCGTGGCAGTCCGGCATGGTAACCGTTCGGCCACGGAGGCAGTTAATAAAAGTGTCCGTTGGCATTTGAACGAAACGTACAGTCTGCTATGTTCGAGATAAGGGACACCATCAACGCTGATTCAGAGAATAGGAAAAGTTGTGATGTAAATGATATTCACCGCTTAAAATCTAGAAATACTGGTTCGAACCCGATCTTAGTACAATTCATCTCTTCGTCTGTCAAGAAACGATTAATAAAATCGGTAAATATTTTTATGAATAAGTAATAATTCAAAATTGAGCACTGTGCGGCTACAACAACCACAAAAAAGAAAACTACTAGCGCCATACGACTACCTTTGGGTAAATGTCATAAACAGAAGACCTCCTATGTTTATTCGTAATTAAGCCCTTACATCTTGGCTAAAACTGAACAGAACTGTTTTTTGTTCTTGATGCCTTAAAATTAGTGCAATTAGCTGCGTTAATAACTAATATATCAATCTCCATTCTACCAATTGTGTGTAAAATATTTAATGAAACTGTAAAGACAAGACTAAAACACTAAATATTTAGAAAAAACTAATTATTATCTGACTCACAGTTTGTCTTCTGTTCTGGTGTTTCCACTAGCGATGCTGTACAAGAAGTTTCATTGTTACAAAAATTGAGAAAAAGAAAATTAGTACATTCATAGACTAGGCAAAAGCTTCAACACAGTCTTCTCTTTTTTTTGTCTCCAAATTGGAAAATCTTGGTGTAAGAGATCAACTCCAAATATTCAAAAGTTAAATGACTAACCGACGTCTGTTCTGATAGAGGTAGTTCTGATAGTGTCTTAAATGGTTAAAATCTAAAATTAAATATAGACCTCTTTCTTCTTCCTGTGCCATCTTCTAATGAAGGTCAGCGATCATAATGGCAATCTGAACCTTAGATACTGCATCTCTGCACTCTGAACATTGAACAAAGTAACGTAATAATTTTCAGTGTGACAAAGGCCTCTCAACGCAATCGACATACCCACCTGAGACGCATCATTACGCATTACTCAAATATTTTGTAAGCCCGTAAAGATGTACATAATTTCGTTAAGAAAGAAGATATCCGTAATATTAACCTTAGAAATAAGTCCAAAGTCAAGGTACTACGAGTTGATTGCGTTTATCATATTACTCTTATTAGGAAGCTGGAACATTACGGTGTAAATGGTAAGGCGTCGAAACTTGTCTCGTCATATCTCAATGGTAGAATTCAGAAAGTAGACATAAATGGAGTGACTACTTTGGGTTCTCCGGTAAAAATGGGTGTTCCGCAGGGCTCAATACTTGGACCTTTCTTATTTCTGATTTATATTAATGATCTGCCATTCTTTGTTAAGAACCATTGCGAAATAGTGTTGTTTGCTGATGACACATCCTTGATTTTTAAAACAGACAGACATGACATTAACTATGACCATATTAACGATACCCTCTCTAAGGTAGTTTATTGGTTTAATGCTAACAATTTATTGCTTAATGCCAAGAAGACAAAATGTGTTAAATTTGAATTACCTAACGTAAAATCCACTAGTCCAAGCATAAAAATAAACGGAGAAAAGTTAGACCTTGATAATAAAGCAGTCTTCTTGGGAGTGACCTTAGATAGTAAACTTCAATGCTTTCCACATATAGAGTTTTTTGCACGTTCTTCTCAGGGAGGTCAGCGTAGTGAACGGGCAGTAGCTTAAAAAATGACGTTCTCAAGTGTAAAAATTTTACGTATGAAATAAATGATTATTTAACGTTGACTTCGCTGTGATTCCCTCGACACCCTTTACAGTTACGTAGTTAACTGCAGTTAAGTGTAAATTTTGAGTGAGTGTCCTTTTTTTATTACGGGGGAAATCTTTATAGATACCCCTGAGCCCAGAGAGACTCAGGGATTATGTGGGAACTCTCCCTCCTGACTGGAGGGCCTACCCTACTAAAACCCCCCCAGATTTAACTCCCGCCGGTTGAGTCGGCGCCGTGGGGTCGGTGCACATTCACCACGACGCCGCCCGGCCGCCCTGTCTTGCGCCAGGGCTCCCGCCTCAACGGAGGGGCAGGTCAGGTGTCCTCCGACCCGCCCCCCAGAAGAGTGAGGCCATGCAATGCAGGATCCGGAGACCATGCCCAGAGCCCGCTGGCCTCACTAGGAAATCAGGCGAACAGCGAACTGCCGTCGCCTTCTCCCTGTACGTCTGCGTCGGAGCGGGTGCGCGTCCGCCGGAGCCTCGCGCACCCGCTCCGCGGCCTCCTTTTGCGACATAACCTCTGCGCAAAAGGAGGCCATCGCCTCCCAGGACTCCTCGCTATCGAGCATGGCGGTAACCACGCCCGGCAGCGAGAGGTCCCGCCCTATTGTCCCCGTCAGAGTACGGCGCTGCTCATCCCATCGGCTGCACACCTCTAGGGTGTGCTGCGCGGTATCATCCGAAGCGCCGCACTCGTGGCACGACGGGGACGGTTCCCTCCTCGCTAACTTGTGTAGGTAGTGACCGAAGTGGCCGTGCCCGGTCAGCACCTGCACAAGGTAACGCAGTTATCGTATTCTTAGGCACAGAAGCAAGAAAACATTTTAAAAAATCAATAACAATCTACATAAGAAATTTAATTTTAATGAATCAAAACAATTTTTAACTAACAGTGGAACAAAGTATTGAACGTTAATAAAACAAGTTAATTAAGATAATCGAACCAATCGTCGGTCCACTCGGGATACGTTGAGCACGATGTTGCTTCGAGGAATGCCGCCAAAAGAGTGAGTCAGGCGGTTTTTTTTAATGATATTTTGCAGTTGGCCGCTGATGGCCTTTATTGCGCCACCGGAGAAAGAGGGCGAGCTGAAGGCTCATAACCCCTAAAATAAACTTAAAGCTAAGTAGCGGGCCTGAGGGCGCCCAAGTGGGCACGGACCTCGGCTCAGGGCGCTACTGGAGACTTCCACCAGAAGGGCGTGCTGTAGGAGAGAATCTACCACTGTACGTGCTGAAATGAGGGGCTCGACAACCTCGCCGGCGAGGACGGTTGGTGCGTGAGGGACGGGACTGACTAGCGATCTGGTTGGCCTTCAAAGTGGCGAGAGTGATAAGGTCGTCAGGGTCCTTGAGGACTTCCCTTGCCCGACGGGTCCTACGTACGCGGTGGGGTTGTTCACTGAGGGGGTCGTAGGAAGATGCAGCCACCACGAGGGGGTTGGGGTGGTGAGGAGCAGAGTCGAAGTATTTCCTCGATGCCTGTTTCATGAATTGGGCTATTGTGGGGAGCCGTAAATCTATATGGAGGTTAGCGTTGCGCAGGTACCACGGGGCACCCGTCGCGTTGCGCATGAATCTATTTTGGAGAGCCTGCAGGCGGTGTATTAGCGCGGGATTTGCCTGAGCGAATGCGACGCTGGCGTACGTCATGATTGGGCGGATGCAGGTCGTGTACAGTCTCACCTTATTGCGAAGGGAGAGTTTGCTATGCTTGTTGAGAAGGGGGTGGAGCCGGCTCATAACAAAGTGGGCGCGATCGCGGACGGTTTTCACGTGTGCTTTGAATGACAGCTTCCTATCGAGCGTAACTCCTAAGTATTTGACCGTGTTCACCCAAGGGATTATGCGGTCAAAGAGCGAGATCGGGGCGGGCGGATGTCATTCGATCCTTTATATACCCACGCCAGTTGTTTACCAAAACAACTGGCTTCTACGCCAATAGTATAATATAGTGATCGAGCACAGCCGAACAAAAGTTTCGGCGCATTTGTCTCAGACATTCAGTTGATGGCGAGATTTGAAATTACAAATACCAAAAAAAAACCCAAGCGGTCCGGTGACACCGGTTTTATATCTGGTACAGGGTTCGGAGACCCATAATTACGGCATCTGGCTATTCCTGGTTTTCCTTATAAAAGAAGACGTTGGGGGACTATGCCCCCAATGGGATAAATCACCGCAGAAGATGTAGAAATCAGGAACACCTTGCGAGCCGACGTGTCGAACAGAAAAGACAAGCTTCCGCCGAATTCCTCCTAAGAGATGTTACCCGCGAACAACGCCACTGACAATCTATCGATTCATCTAGATGAAACCCCCAAGTCTTATCACCTAAACCCGCTAGAATACAGGGCGATTCCAGGTTTACGTATATTACTTTATAGAAAGTACTTGGCAAATTAATTGGCGGCGTTCGACATGGAAATATTAAAGAACAACTATAATTTACATGAAGCTCGACTACAGAAGCAAAATCGAGTTTATTGGTTCGCAGTACTAGTATTCTGCGTTACCAGAGTTGGTGTTTTCAAAAATACGTCAAACTAAAGCGTACCCATTCACCCTATTGATTTTATAGAAAAATCGTTCACCAACAAGTAATATACATGTGAATGGTTTAAATAATAGATTACACCAACACTTAAGAGTTTCAACTAATTTACTAAATATTTTTAAACTATAACGTCAAAGTGACATTTTGTACAAGAATGGTGAAAAATACCAAGGAGAGAAGATACATTTTGTTTTTGTTTTGTATTTAGGAGATCTACCAAAAGAATGTGTTACAAGGGGGGATCCGCCAAGCCTTCTTTCCACCGGTCCCGCATGCGCTGCGCTGCAAGGCGGCGCTCCCGCTCGACCTCTTGGGGAGCGGGGCGCTCGCCTCGGTCCCTCATTCCCCGCCGGTAGGCATGGACCTCCGCCAGGACCTCTGCTTCAAGGTTCCACGGCGGAGTACCAGCGAGGACGCATGCGGCAGCGCAAGCCACCGTCATGTACTGGTGGTCGTCCTGCAGCCTCCTCAGCAGCGACTTCGTCGCCACTGATAAGGCCCCACTTCAAATGGGAGCCGCGTATAAGGCCATACTCCGAGTCACCCCGGCGTATAGCCTTCTGCAAGGGGCTCCCGGCCTCCCAAGATTGGGCAGGAGCCGACCCAACGCCGATGCGGCGCCCACTGTTCGGGGAGCAAGTTGTCGACAATGCTCCCCGAAGTTCCATAGCCGGTCCAGGATATGGTCCAGATATTTCATTTGGGGCCTGACCGGGACCGATACTCCCGCGATGGAAATGTGGGCGCCTGCCGGCACAGCCCAATCTCTGCCCCTCCCACCGAAGACGGCCACATCCGTCTTCGGCACGGAGACCTCGAGCCCCAGCATAGTTGTATTCGGCGGACCACCATGTCCGCCGCTACTGAGGCTCTTCGTGCCGCCTCCTGGAAGGTGGTCCCCCGGACGGCCACCAGCGTGTCATCGGCGTTGAGGAGTGTCCTAACATTTTATTATTTATTATATAATGTTAGTACAATGCAACGCGAGTTTAAAAGTATATACTGTTGAATGTGTTAAATATAGGTATCTTGATTGATTGTACTTTAATTTTTAAACCACACATTGATGCACTCGCCACACCAATTAGAAACCGAATATTTACGTTTAAAAAGCTTCGACAAGTTACTGATGCCTGATATCGTCAGTTGACCTGTGGGGTGATTCACGTGGCCGTCTGTCAATCTTTGCTCGTATATTGTAGATACCACAAATTATTCTAGAACAACGTAAACATTTTATCTACCATTCGCAGCATATATATAGTAGCTTTGCCAAGCGGTTGTTTTGTTTTTTGAGTAATTATTTATATAACAAATTAAAACTTTCCAATTTGTGTTCGTTGTGTGTTCTGAATTGTGTACCGAGGTACAAATAAGTCAAAAGACTTCTAAAATTGTGTCGGAAATTGTCTATTAATTGCATTATTTTTAATTTCAATATACGTTGCTAAAAATGTAATTTGCAATTATAAGAATAAACGATACATTGCTCATTAGCTTAGAATATAATGAAGCCTTTTTTCCCCTTAAATAATAATTAATAAATGTGAATTATGCAACAAAGACTATAGTTTCATTTTATGTCAATGTTTGCATTCCAAAGGTGCCTGAATAAAAGGCAGGAGCCCCGTCGAATTCGCTAATTTTTTCAATTAAAAGCCAATGACCAATTAATGTCCATTAAATCTCCCTCAGTTCCCACGCAACGCATTATTTTATTGACTGAGTCCATTGCCGGTATTTACCCGCTGCCGGTGAACACCGAGTCACGGTGAAGTCGTTTCGCCGTCGCGTCATTATGCGCGCGCGCACAATGCAATTTATTTGCACATGTTAACTTCGCTCCGCTGGATACAACTTGCGTCGCGTGAGAAATCGCTTATTCATTTTAGGCTTAAATTTTGGCGGAATCTTTTCTTTCGGTGGGATGTTTTTAAAATTAGTACTAGTTTCCGTTCACACTTGCAGACGAAAAATAATGTCCTGGAACACGAAGGCGAACCGTCCCGAAACGCGCCCTGCGCCCTCGACGACGGCGTTATTTAATAAAAGTCATCCTAAACAGTGTGCTCAGAGCAAACACGCGGGTAAAAGTAGCAATTTGGTAGCAATAACAAAAAGTTCCCCGACCGTGTATTTTGTTAGCGCGGGGCCGGGGGCGAGGGGGACGCCAACTCTTTCATAAAGTTAAATCCGAGTGTCGCGCGGCTCTGAATTTCATTAAACTCGGTTTTGGCGTGTTTGCTCTACCGCAGTCGGCACTCGCCCGCGCCGCTCGGGCAATAATTTCGTCAAGCCATTATGCCGCGAGTCGACAGTGAAGAGGGCGACAAATACAGCTAACTTAATCCCGCAAACTCATATCTTCCCGGCGAGGGGCAGGGGTGCGGCGTGCGGGGGGCAATTGACCCAATAATAATGTTCCACGAGTGAAAAGCACACCCAACGCAACCTGCGCGCTACGTCATTAATATGTAAGGTCAACTAGAATTTATATAGCCCAGTATTTTTCGAAACATGGTAATGCGACGGAAGTATTGAAGGTAGTTTGAAGTCTCGGAACAATAGGAACTACGCCCTAATTTTAACAACGTGTGCAGAATCAAAAGCTTCTTCTGAATACTCAATTATTAAGTTCTAACCTCAGTAGGTAAACGCTGTCACAGAAACGCAGCGTTACAACCGTCAAGTGTAGAGCGAAGCTCCCGCCGGTGTAAAGAAGGGTACAAATCGCTGTATAAACTTAATATCGGCAATCGCGGGGCGGAGAGGCGGCGGGACAGCGGAGGAGGGAGGGGCAGATCAAACATCTGAGCTTTTATTGCGATGATCGCGTATTGATTGGCGACATTATGTCGTTCGCAGGAACGTTAATATACTTACTACCTTTCGAACACATTCGATAACTGGTTAAGAACACAAATTTAGTACAGTGTCAATTAATTAGGATTTGCGGTTTGTGCTTATGCCCATATGTAAATTGACACTCAATCGTTTGTGGGCACGGGCCATGGACAGCAACGGCGTCGCGAGTCTTTCCTACAACAATACCAAGGGTGAGCGAAGTAACAAGTAATAAAGTAATAAGTATTCAATTACAAAACTTCTGAAAAAATTGTATTTAAAAGTGACCAGGTCATTTCGCCATTTGTCGGCTATTTCCCTAACAAGATATTTTCTATGTTGCATTATATGTTTTTAATTCGACAACGTAAATTTCGTTACGCGCCGCCGTTGAAGTCTTTCGTTTGGCAAACGCTGAGCGAAGATTGCTCACCTGGCACCGGTCACCTAGATTAAGGTCGTATGTCTCACATTTCTGAATCAAACGACACATTTCATTGTCAAAATATGTCTAAGGTGTTTATTCTGCAAGAGATAATATGACATCGTTACGGGCACGTCGAAAGTGTACCTTCACGATCGTAGTCGAGTAAATAAATAAGCGTTATGGAAAAATTTCTCGGATCAGATAACAGCTAGGATCACAATAGCCATTCACAGAGAGAGAGAGAGAGTAATCAACAAATGTGCGGGCAATTAAAATCTGAAACAATACAGTGTCAGCGGCACGCGCGCCATTGTCCGCCCTATGACGACAACGGTGTCTTAGTGAAGTTTACTTTACATTACGTAGTTCGAAAATGCGGTGAAATAGAACGAGGCAATAAGGCAGCAGTGTATTTGATGGCAGCGAACTGAATGAATCTGTACGCATTTATAAAAGAGGGTTAATCCATTGTGTTGCGTCGGACGTCAATTACATCGGTCGCGATCGCGTCGTTGGGATGTTATTAACAAGTTCATAGGGGAGATTGAGTCGTGAGTAGGTACTTTAAAATGCAATATAAATTTGTGTTCTCACAACCGCGATTCAGAAATTCTAAAGTTCAGTTGGATGTTCGTTACTCAAGGGCACAGCAATAAATCAAAGTTCTCTTTGAGACCTGCTGTATTCCGCAAATGAAGGAAGCCAAGAGCATCGTCTGCACCACACAATTTGACACTTTCCATCTATTCACATGCATAAAACAATCCGGCGTTGATAAACAAAGAAAAAACAAAATCTCTGATTCTTTTTTATTCAATTTTCCCTAAGACTAAATTAGATTGCGTTCCTGCTTTGATGTTATACATACTTTTGAAAGTTAATAAAATCTCCTTGCAGGTAAACTGGTTGAATGCGGTTAATATCGCTACGCAGTAAGCCGCGTTCCCCGACTTAACCGAGTAACAAAGTTAAAGTTAACCGCCTTACTGTTAACAGCCGCCGGGGTGGTGAGCGGAGGGAAAGTGAGGACTTTGCTTTTTCAAAGTTTTATCTTCTGTCACTGCTTCGAGTGTACCAGAATAAAGTCGTTGATCATGTAGTTGTAGGGAAATTATTTAATGATAACATTTATGCTATTTAAAGATACTTACTTTTAATTAATGGAGTATTTCTTACGTATTTGAGTACTAGCTTCAACACATTACTGCCTTCGTGTTTGCGACAAAATGTTTTTGCTTTTAAGCAACTATGTAATACTTGTCTTTTCTATATTTATTAAGCTAATATTAGACTTTTTGATCGAATCACAAACGTCTTGTACCCAAATGTTTGCTAAAATAAGTTTTATTGAGTCGAGGAGGACTAACATGATAATAGATTATGTGTATATCAGGTCGGCTATATGTAAGAAGCCGTGAACAGTTATAAAAATTATTTTCGTAATTAATAATTGTCTCACAAATTTTCTGTGATTTCAACAAAACACTTCCGTCTACTCACCAATTCTCCGCTCGACCGAGTGAGACTGACGACGAAGCTAAATAGCTCCACTGTTGTACACATACTCCCGCCCCTGTTGGCGAAAAAACGCTTGACGTTTCAGCAATTACAGGCCCCCTTCCCCGTGGGCGTGATCTCGTCCCTCCTTCGAAAATAAGTAACAGTTTAAGGGGATTAAAGGCGTTGCTAAGCGGAGATTGAAACACGGAGCTCCCCGCCGTTTTGTCGTGTTCGTGACGTGTCTGTGTCGCGTCGTTCTCGCTACGCTTGAGCACGTGTTAACAGTCCTCAATGGCCTCTCGGCGACGCTCAATCGCTCTTCGAGCTGACGACTCGCCGCCAGATGTTAATCCGACTGCTGCACGTTTCACACTTCCATCTTCTACGTACAGCTTATTTTACTTTATTTAAAACATACATCATTTTTACATTCAGGACATATTTTGGACCGTTAGTGTCTACGCGGCATTTTAAGAATTTGCAACGAGCGGCAATTTATGCGTTACAATTTTGTTTATACGATTACCTAAAATTTTATTTTCAATCATTATTTCAATGTGTGTCATGTGGGATATTTCAAAAATCTGATTATGGGTACACACGTATACCTGCTAGATTAAGGTTCCACGTTTGAATCGCTTCTTGCTTGTGTAATCTGGCTTAGCATTGCGTTCTTTTCACCTAAGCTTATGTACTTCAGCTGTGTACCGACTTAATACACGCACATGCAGCGTCAGTACTCTGCCAGATTTACTCCCCGCCCTCCCCTCCCTGTCGGCCGTACCCCTAGCGCGCCCGAATTTTTACCAAATTAATCTTTCTTCAAACACTCGAGTTCTTTGTGCCTATCGGAGCTGCCGAGGAGCAAATTTAATCTTGCATGAACCCGTCCAATACACACACGCGCAAGTATGCACAGACGACGGAATAAGTTGCTCCACAGCCTTCTAAAATTGTATGCCTAAACGAAGGAGTACGCCTGGTTTAATCAATATTTATTCAGGACAATTTGTTCAACAATACCTACTTACGCATTAATTGACATAACGTTGCTACGAAAATCTGTAAGTGATTCTGAAGCCGCAGGCGCAATGGTAATTATTACTTACCGTAATTTTGGTAACGGGAGAAAAAAATACAACCAGAAGACAAATTACAACCACCTGCCCGTCTGGCTGACAAAGCTGTGACTGGCAGTGGATCATTAACAGTCGATGTAGTAAATAAGCAATGTAGAAGTTTAATAAAAGACAGCGAAAGTTTATCACATAATTTATTATATTCAGCTCGTGGCTAAGTACATTATTGCAAACCGCTATGACTACGCTGCTAATAACTAACTCATGGCTACCGCTCGCTCTATTGCTTATCTTATTCGTTACTTATAATATACATTATGTACATACGCTTATGTATTTACACTAGTAATAACACTTGGTGTGGCTTGCATTCGTACGTACTCGTGCTTCAAATAAATGGACACGCACTCACCGTTTCCTATTAACCCTACGCTTATTTATATTAGGTGGGAATCGAAGGGAATGCATGGGTGTGCTTTGGGAACTTCTTTTGAGAGTGATATGCTGTATGTGTACAATTGTCGTCTTTCAACTTTATATATAAGCTTTATTACTGTTATGACTGCCGTATCATATTTCTTCAGACTGTGTTATTGTAATAGGCGGTACGAGATTATAGTGAATAAATATCCGGAAATCGCGCAAACGACGCGGGACTGAGATCGTCGCGAGACACATCAGCAGGCGTTAAGGCACACACACATCTCGGGGAAAAGCAACTGTCTACAGTTGTAGTGTGTACAACTACAACTAAGCCATGGAACTAATTAAATGTTCATAAGAATTGTTAACAAATATTATTTTTTTAAATTGAAAGTATCTTTCAAGTGTCTACTTGTATTTAGAACATTTATGGAAAATAGTCATTACTTTTGCGACTGTGGCTATTGTTCGTCCCTCGGATAAGTGCCTGCATACCGGTCAAAATTATACCAACTAGTTGCCTGGAAATAAGGTAAGTAACTTAAATATATATCCCGACCGTGAACTCAATATGTATACAATGCTTGATAATTAATAATTAGTAAGTAGGTAGTAAAGTAGATAAGTATCACATAAATTAGCCTCGTCCGGCCGTTTATACGTACGTTCTTAATACGAAAATGAGATTGGAATGTCACGATTTGTTGCGAATGTTAAATACACGGAAGGAAGTATTTATGTAGTCTGGGTTGAATCCTTGTTGTGACCTCGGTTCGCCTTCGTCGACAGCAATGCCATCGAGCTCCGCTTCGAAGGCGCTCCACAAAATGTCAAAGATAGAGGCCACTGTCTCTTTTGCTGCTGACGCGTCGGTGATTGTTAATCGGTATCTAGAAATAACCGCTGCCAGCTAGCACTTCGATCGTCGTCGGTGACGTCATGGTGTATCGCTGGTTACGTGTGGACCTTGCCGTTGTGGTGAAGCGCGTCGTGCACGCGCAGCGCCTCCTCGTGCGCGCGCGCCGCGGGCGAGGGCGGCGACGGCGGCGACGCGGGCGCCTCGGGCTCCGGCGGCCGCAGCGCGGGAGGCGGCATCGCCAGCACGTATCTGCACGGCGCAACGTCGGCACGGCTCGTTAGAAGCACAGGCACATGACATTCGCGGGATAATCATTTGGAACTCGTTCTAACTCTGGTATGTTACAACTTCGGTGAAAAAAACCTCTTGTACGTCTTATAAAGTCTTTTATACAATAATATAAGCAGGTTTTTCACGCTCCTATAAAATTACTTGAAATGACTTAAGCGGTGCTGTTTGCTAAGCGACAACATATATATGTAGATAATCATGTAATTAATAATTATTGTAACAAAATTGATGAGAGATATATAAATGACACCAAATAATGGTAAAGCTACGGATGCGGATATTGACATGGATGGCGTTACCTGTGCAGCAGCGCTCTGAATGCGGCGGCGGGCTCGTCGTGCGGCCAAAGTGGCGCCACGCCCAGTCCCAAACCCGCGCCCAGTCCCAGCGCCCACCACTCGCCGCCCACCGCGCCCACCGCGCCCACTGCGCTGGCTCCCGGCGCCCATTCGCCCACCACTAGTACGAAACAGATTAAGCTTCTATGACATTTATATACGCGAGTCGATTGACATTCTTTTTTCAGTCAATTAATCTCAAAACTGGCTCGTAACTTCTTAATCGCCGTAAAAAAATCTAGAATACAAAAAATCTATAAGCGTTCCACCTCTACGAAACATTGTGACAAGCCTATCTATTTAGCTTTAACAAATAAATATATCTCTACCTCTATCTCTGAAATCGTTTGAACTTGAAAAATTAAATACAATTTTGGAGGAGCCGATAACGAACCCCACAGTTCGGCAAATATCCGTGATCCGTAACACGACCGTCAAATTGTTTGTGGAAAGTATCAGCGGCGCGGCGCGCACCGCGCAGGTGACAGCGTGCACTAATGGGCTGTGAATGGCCCCACGCGCGGTGCGATGCTCGCTTGTTTGCCCACTCGCGGCACGCGCGCGACACAACGCGCCGTTGTTGAGGTGACACCTGCTGAGCCCACCAGGTGGCCAGATTGGGCTCGGCCGTTAGGAGCGTTATCTTTTAAGGAGCGGTTGCACTTGGTCCTCGAACAACTGTATCCGCAGGTCGCCTAAAGCAGGCAACCGGACTTTTATATTTTCGTGATGTACAACACACACTAATAGAGTGTATGTTCGCCTACAAACCTCAGCATATATTATACCGCTCATTTGCACAGTTCTTGCTATTTGATGTTTAACAACTTACCACTGCCGTAGTAGAAGAACTTCAGGGTTACAAATGTCCATATTTTAGAGTTATTCTCAAAGAAGATGATTTCAAAAAGAGGTTCCTTTAACTGGTCAACTGGTCTTCTAACAGTCCATTTAGTCTACTAGACTATTTTAAGTATTAGAGATCTATATATAGACTGTATATGAGACTACGTCACGAACTTTGTCCTAATTAAATATCTAAGAATTCCTATAAAATAATATTTGATATGACATTCGTGAATGTGCCCGCTGTGTGTCGTCGCACCAGAACAGAAGAGTATCAGGGCTGTAATAGTCGTCACCTGGCCAAATTGGGATTGCCAAATAAATTTCCAATGTGCCTTGATTTATCTTCAAGTCAGGGCTACCCTTTTAGACGTCCATATAAGAAAGACGAGACAGAATACATTCCCCTATTTACCCACAATACAAACAGATAGTTGTTCTACGTATGACGAGATATGGATCGGTAATCGCCTCAATTATTCCGAAACAAACCACATGTTTTTGGATTTCATTATTGCTGCCTGCCCTCGTTGCCCCCCGTCCCGCAGGTGTTCATTACCTCGTGACTGTTTGCCGGTCATTTGCGCTATCACCGCCGCGCAATCGCCACTGTTAAGCGCGTTAAAACTTCCTCCCGCTTATTACCTACTCGGTGCACCGCCTCCCCCAAACCCCGCGACCCCGCCCCTTGCCCGACCGATACGTGATTTATTCTCGTTTACTTTAATTCCAGGGTGACAATGACAACTGGCGATAATTTGGACTTTGATACCGAACGGAAATTGTAAATAAAATATGTAAAATTCACATTAGGCGGATCGTTTTTGTGACACTAACGACGATAAATGCGGGTTACTGGTTGGTAATAATTACAACCAAATGTGGTGATAATTGTGCGCTTGAAATTTCACTAAAATGGCTTTTGATGAAGAAGCATTTCCCAGTTATGCCATTTGGTTAAAAGTGTTTGGAAAAAACGCTCAAGTGTATTAGCACGGTGAGAAAAATCGTCAATTCAGTTGTAAACTCCATAAAGTGTAACAAGCTGATAAGCGTTCGATTATGACAAACCTTCTTTTTCGAGACATACGATGCGGGCCGGTAATGATGACTTACCGTGTTCGTGGTGCAGGAAGGGCTGGTGGTCGCGGCCGAGGGCCTTCTCGCGCTTGCGCCACTTCGCGCGCCGGTTCTGGAACCACACCTGCCGGCAAACCACATCATCACTGAGGTGAAGCCTATGTTCAGTACTGCACCGATCATAGCTCAAGATAAATGTAATCTAAAAAAAACTTAATCATAACAATCGTTTGGTGCATAATTGTGTACATTGGGTACATACATTTGGTAAAATGATTGGGCAATACACTTTTTACCATTTTAATGGTTCTTCGCTCAATAATTTGTCTCATGACATTGAGAAAAATAAAAATTGTTAAGTACCGCAGTAAAATATAATGTACACCTACAACTAATCAATTTGCAAGAACTTGGTAAGCATAACAAAACGAAGATTGTTTGTTCGACACAAGCCGATTTAAAAACAAAATGTTTCCAAATTCAATCGAAATGGTTTGTTTAGTGAGAGGGAAGCCAAACTGTGCGACACGTCGCGATCGCCTTTGCACGCAAACGCATCGACAAGGAAATCGCGCCGGTGCCGCGCGACTGTTTAATTTTTTTATTGTGTAATTGTCGGCAATTTGACCTCCCCCTCCGCCCCTTCCTCCGCATCCCACGCGACTACAATGGCTCGTAATGAAAAGCAATTACGCATACGTGGTTTCCATACGGAGGCTGCGTTCTTACCGCAACGACCCTATGCGTTCAGTGGTCAAGGTCTGTTTTCGCATAGCGACGATTGTGAACAATTGAAGCCAGGCGAGAGTTGCTAATAAAAGACATTGTCCGTGAAAAAATTTGTCGTAATTTCATAATTCGACTGTAGCAGTCACCCGCCGGCGACAGACGGCGCACGCGCGGGTATGTCAGTCGCCCGTTTATGATTGTTGGACACCGACATTTGAGCCAAAATCTTTCATTGTTAGGAGCAGGTTGCATGGAAGACAATAAAGGTGGATTTATATTGTAACATTACATACAAGAAATAAACCAAAAAAGAGTGGTCTGTAACACGTCTGTAATGTTTTAGCTCGTCGCCGTCACTCGCACTCAATGATATTATACTTGTAAACAATTATGCGCACTGCTCGCACTACTACAGTCGTTGCGATTTGGAATTAGCCGCTGTGTTATTTATTTGGCATTCTCTATGGCTCTTGTATGTCTGCCCACCCGCGAGATTTAGAATTAAAATGATTATAGTCGACGTATCTCAACACGACGCATCGAATGCGGCTATTAATTGGCGCAACTCGTTTAGGCCGTTCTGTCGGCTGAGGGTGACCAGTGCTAAGCAACGGAATTTGGTCAACTTTATTTTTCATAGGCACGTTAAGATTGAAACATAGAGGTGTATAAGGTGTTAACAAACTACAGTCATTTCATTTTGAGTTTCATTTAGTGTTGAAGTTTGAATAATTTCGGTACCGAGTACTAAAAAAACCGACTACAAAGGTCATTCATCCCCTAGTTTGTCACCCTTAGAGGTCCCCTCACATCTGGAAACCACATCTGAGGTACCCTCTTTCCAACAAAAAAAGAATCATCAAAATCGGTTCAGGAATGCATTGTCGCGTAACATACGTACAAATGAAACATGTACTCGAATTGAGAACCTCCTTTTTTTAAGTCAGTTATAAATGTTGAAATGGCAATTTGGTATCTAACTCGCGTATATTTGTTTTTTTTAAGCAAACCAACGTTTCGGGGCCTGTGCACCTTCCATGATCACGGCTGACTGGTTATTATCAGTAGTTATAATCCTAAAAAATAGTTTCATCACCATTTTTAAGAATATCGAATTACGATTACTATTGTTAACACGACATACAGGTGTGCTATTTGCTGAAGATGTGTCAATCTTAACAGTAAATAAAGGCTTATCTGTGAAGCAGTATAAAGAAGAGATCAATTTTACCCTAAAACACATTACAGACTGGCTTCACAACATTGATCTATCTGTTAACTTAATAAAAACTAAAGCTATACAATTCCACGCTCATCAAGCTGAACCGCCAAGTATTAATATTTGTTACAAAACAGTAAATATAGAAACAGTTCAAAATTTCAAATTTCTGGGAAATACATAGATTCGCGTTTAAGTTGGAAACATCAAATTGAAACCATGAACAATAAACTATCAAGTCTATCTATATACGCCCTGTTGATGCTGGCCAGAAATGCCTCACGTTACACTCTACTGATAGCGTATTACGGAACTGTGTATCCAATACTCAATTATGGAGAGATCCTTTGGGGTGACTGTGTGAACGTCAACTCTACATTAGTCCTTCAAAAGAGGTGTATTTGCATTATATATTATAAAAAAAGTTCGACCATGTGCGCCATATAGATGCCAAGCTTGCCTCTTATCCAGCAGGCAGCAAATTCTTTTGGTCCCTGGCCAAAGCGATCGCATCTAACTTTTGTCGCCCATCTTTGCCACCTCTGCCGAGGTCGGATGGCTCGCTGGCTCATACTGCGGAAGAGAAGGCGAATCTCTTTGCCTCACTCTTTGCAGAGAGTTCGCGTCTGGGTACCGCAGGGACCCTACTACCTACTTTACCTCAGGCTGGCTGCACTATGGCGCCAGTTCACATACGCCAAAAAGAGGTACTTAGAACTCTGCGAAATCTGACGTGAATAAAGCTAGCGGGCCAGATGGAATTCCAGCAATAGTCCTGCGTAACTGTGTGCCTGAGTTGTCTCCTGTTCTCACAAGCCTGTACCGCCTCTCACTTAAGACTGGTGTAGCTCCCAGGTCGTGGAACCTTGCAAACGTGCAACCTGTGCTAAAAAAGGGAAGTAGAGCTGACCCTGTCAACTATAGACCTATCTCAGTCATTTCCATACTCCGCAAGACTATGGAACGTGTACTCAATAACCGTCTCCTATCGTACCCTGAAGGCAACGACCTCCTCAGTGATCACCAGTATGGATTCCGACGCTGGCGATCTACTGGGGATCTTCTTCTGTATGCTTGTCACATATACAGCGAGGTTATAGAAAAGCAAGGCGAAGCACTTGCAGTGTCTTTGGACATTTCTAAAGCCTTTGACAGGGTCTGGCACGCAAGCCTTTTAAGTAAGCTTCCCTCTTATGGGCTTCCTACTGCCTTTGCAATTATATCTCGGATTTCTTGAGCGAACGTTCAATTCGAATGGTCTTAGAAAGCTACTCTTCCGAACATATGGCAATAGAATATATTATATAGATATAGATTTAGAGGCGGAGTTCCTCAGGGTTCCGTACTGACTGCAACTCTCTTTCTGCTGCATATCAATGATATGTTAATTCCAGGTATCTTTGCGTATAATATTGCTTTTCCAAGCTAGTATATTCTCGAGGTTGGTATCTTTGTAAAATTAAACCAGGCAAAATTTATAATAACAAAGGAAATAACTGCTAGAAGCCTAAGAAATCCAAATAAAATAATACTAGACACAAGTTGGTATTATGACAATATGCCTCCAAAGTAATTCTTATGCTGTGAGTGGAAAAATTTTTGATCACATGCCAGATAGCTTTAAGCCTTTTCACAGTTGTAGATATGTACTTGATCAATGCAAGGGTGTGTGAGAGGAAGAGTAGAGAGAGAGAGAAGAGGAGGAGTGGAGAAGAAATCCAGTCTTGTCGAGAGTACATGGTTAGCCGTTTAGATTTGATACTCCAGGCAGTCTCCGATTGGGGCAATGCCAATCTTGTCAAATTTAACGCTACCAAAACGCAGGCGTGTGTATTCTCCACAAAACAGAGTCTCCTTTTAAGCTGACTCCGACTTTTCGTGATATATCCATACCGATAGCCGATTGTCTCTAGCTACTTGGAATGGACCTGTCGTCCAATTTGAACTTCGGCAGATACATTGAATCCATGGCCAAAAATGCAGCAAGGAAGCTTGGGATCCTTTCCAGGGTGAGGCGTTACTTTACACCGGGACAGTTGCTTCAGCTGTTCCAAGCACAAGTCCGATCGTGCATGAAGTACTGCTGCCACTTCTAGGATGGCTCTGCTACATATTAATTGGCCACTTTGGATTCAATTGACAACTGTGCCAAGAGGCTTTTAGGTGACTCGGAATTGAACCGGAATTGAAGAAGCTGCAGAGCCTTGAACACCGCCGTAAAGTTGCCTGCTTATCGGTATTCTACAGGATATATCGCGGAGAGTGTGCGAGGGAATTATACGATTTAATTCCGCCTTCCCCTTTCCATCATCGGGGGACTAGACGTAGGCTGGCGTTCCACCCTTACGTTGTGGATATTCCAAAGATTCGCAAGAAGCGTTACGCTTCCACATTTATATGGCGAACGGCTATGGAGTGGAATTCCCTGCCTGCAGATTTGTTCCCTAAACGTTATAACTTGGACCTTTTCAAAGCCAGAGTAAATAGGCTTTATTTAGATGAGCATGCTCCATCGTTATCCTCATCGTCACTTTCCATCAGGTGAGATGGAGGTGAAATGCGTAACTATATTTTATATTAAATAAAAATATGACGTCAGCCAGTCCTTTGTTTAGGCATAAGAACATTTTAACGTTGACAGGTATATATATTACGAATTTATGTTTGTTTATACGCAGTAATAAGGGTTATTTCATTAAAAAATTGACAGTACAAAACTATAATCTACGATCGCGGCTTAACTTAATGCAACCTATAACTACCTCAGATATTTGCCTTAGAAGTGTTTACTCTACGGTCATTCGTGTGTATAATTACTTGGAAAATGACATAAAAATGTTAGATAGTACAACTTTTCGCAAAACTTTAAAGGTGTGGGTAATTAAAAAATGTTTTTACATAGGAAATGAAACTACTTTTCCGGATTTAAATCGTGTGTATTTGTTTTTTCAAACAAACCGACGTTTCGGGCCCTTTACAGGTCCCATGGTCACGGTTGACCTATACATGATTCTGTATATTGTTTTATTTTCGTAAGGAATATTTAGTAATAAATCCAAAATAGAAGTATAGTAGCGTATTGTAGCTCGTCTGTCGCTGCTCATACAAAAATCGGGAAGATAAATCTGTCAAGCCATTTTCCAAGTTTAAGATGTGGAACTATAGTTTAGAAGGGC